ACAGACAGACAGACAGACAGACAGGCAGACACGCGCGTGCATGCATGCATGCATGGCGGGCGACCCCTGTCCATAGCAGTTGTTGAGTTTAACCTTTGCTGAGTTCAGATCCTTTTTTTGGAATCTCGAGTCTCAGCTGTTTTCTCTAATTTGCATAATGCCCAAACTGTAGAGGTTGGTATCATATTTGGCAAAACACCTGTAAACTCATTGTGTAAGTGCTATACACGGGTATGTGTTGTCGAACAGATTGCCCATAACAGCCCAAATAAGATTCTCTAGAGTGGTGGTTGATCTTGCTTTTGGCTTTCGGATCTTGGCTGCGCCGCGTTGTCGAAGTGCCGCTGTCGCGAGGTGCTCTTTACAAGTACCTGGGGATGACCACCATCGGAAACCTGGGCGCCTGTGCAGATGGCATTTGTGACACGGAGGACACGCACACGACTCGATGCCCCCCAAGCAGAAACCATCCTTTGGATCCTAAAAGCATGCTTTTGGGTAAGCCCACCAAGTTCTGCTCGATTTGGCCTTTGTTTTCTCGTCACCCCCAAACACCCCCAGACAGAAGCCACACCTTGGGTTTCCCCCCGGTGTTCCGCCGTGCTCCCCGCTTTTGTTTTGTCCACTGCCCGGGTTTCCGGTTTTCAGCCGTGCCCACCGTCGGGTTTTTTGCTTGAAGCCTCAGGAGGAAATGCAGGAGCGGTGCATGTGGAACCACTTCCCCTGCGAGATGAAGCTCAAGGACATCACCCAGCGCCTCAGACTGCCTGGTGAACGCTCGGGGGGTGCCCGGAGAAACGGGCGGGGGTTTCTGTTTTGGGAGTTGGTCCGTTTTGTTTTTTTTTTTGGGGGGGGGTGGTTGAAGGGAAACCAAAGGGAAACCTTTAGATGCCATTGCTTTTCTTTGGTTTGGAAGGGAAACCAAAAGAAAACCGTCAAACTGCCATTTGTGGGGGTGCCCTAAAGAAAGGCCACGCCCGAATTGTAAGGTCGCCGATGGGGCACAGCGAGCTCGGACAGAATTGAAGGTCCCTCGAGGCCGTAGCGGGTTCCAATTTTTCGTTGTGAGAACTATGATATTTTGGGCAAAATAAACACGTACGTGAATCTTAGCCTTACATCCAAAGATGCTTAGGTCTACAGGCACTTTCGGGTTGTAGCTAGATTGAAGATTCAGAATGTTGTTTTCGTGTATCTTCAGTCTTCAACCCAAAAAGAGTTTCAACCTGCTTTCAGGCATTTTCAAACGTACCTTGGATAGCAGCGCTCTTCGAACTGCGTCAAAGTGCAGATGTTTTGTTTCACACTCTGAAGCCCTTGAACATTCTTAGTCACTTTCATAGTCCTGCCTTTTGTCACGCATTGCGAGTGTCTCAGCAACTGTATCTCTTCACACATGTACAGCATGGTGTCCATGTCTGATCTACGTCCCTCGGGGTGTTTCCGAGTGAGGGCCCCCCCCACTCCCACCCCACTCCCACTCCCACTCCACTCCCACCCCACCCCCCTCCCCACCACCCCTTGGCAGATTGCTTCTTCCACTCCCACCCCAGCCACCACCCCCCCAGCCACCACCCCTTCACCCCTTGGCAGATTCCTTCAAACGTTCGCCCAGCCTCGGAGTGAGGTGGTTGGGCCTGGCGGATGGAGTATCGATCCTCCTGGTCCTGGCCTGGGGCATCTACTTCAAGAACGTCCACATCCCCTGGACCGTGCGCCAGAACGACGACGCCCACTTGACCCCCGCGGACTTCACGGTGGAGATCAGGGTGCTGCCCTATGACCTGAAGGAGGAGCACCGGAGCTACAAGGCAGGGCGATTGGCGTTGCTATGCTTCCATTGGCTTAAGAATTATTTGTTTATTGTCCCTTTTGGTTTTAACAGGAATTTATCACTACCGGAAATATTTACATTTTTTTCCCAGGGTCTTAACCAAAATGAAGTATGGGTATCGCAACCGGACACTGGTATGCTGAATTCCTGCGCCCTTTCCTGTCGCTCTGAATCCCATCGTTTTTCTTGGGGAATATGGTGCAAGGTAGGCCTTTTGGATATTTGCCACCCGCTATGCGGAGAATCTAGTGGGGCGAGCTATCCATGGGCGATGAGATTGAATTTCGAGGTGTCCATCAACAAGTCGGAGCACTTGTTTTCATAATTGTGATTCCAATATGAACAACACGGTTGATTGGCAATCTTGCAACCAAGATTCGAGGCTTGCGGTTTCTATAGGGGTGGTGCTCTGTCCGCCTTGTGCAGGGAAGGGCAACATGTGTGTCCCTTTAAAGGGAAACCGTAAACCCAAACGAGGCAGTTCAAGCAATAGTTGCTCGAGCATGTACAAATGAAAGGCGGTGGCACCTTGACATGCTCAAACATGTTTAAACAGAGAAACTCTGGCCTAGGACAAGCTGCAGACGCACTTCCTTCAGGTGTTGCAGAGCCTTGGTGCGGACGTGGGTCCCGAGGCCATTGTGGAGGTGTGCCTAGTGAGGGACTACGAGGGCGCCATCAAGACTTTCCTCAGCAAGGGCCAGCTGATCTTGGATCAGCAAGCGGATGTGATTCTCGGCACTGGCGTTGCTTGAACATGCCTCACGCACTGGACCTGTCCAAGTCTTTGTTGCATGTTTTGTTCCAGAAGCACACTCTTCGGTGCCAAACCAAGGGTTTCCCGTGAACGCGTTTACAATTTTGTCTAGCCCAAATGAGGAAATGAGGGCTGAATCATGCTGGGCGCAGTCTTTTTTCTAGGCCTGTAGCCAGCTTTTCAAGGCTTTTGCAACGACTCTGTCACGTAAGGATGCACATGAAGATGTACGAGAACGACCAGAATAAGTTTAACAGGCCAGTGGTGTCGAACCGGCCCAAAAATGATTGGTGTATCTTTGGCTTCTCTGCACGATTCATTATCCATTCGGGGGGGGGGGGAAAAGCGGTTACCATTTCTCGGAGCCTCAAGAGCAACCTCCAAAAGTAGAACTTGCGGCAACTGTTCTACCCGTGAACCCTTGGAGAAACCGCGAGGTACGAGAAGTCAGCTGTGAAGAAGTATGAGAAGATGAAGAAAATCGAGCATTCCATCCAGACACAAGCGGAGAAGAGTGGCTGAGCTGAAGTCAAGCCATTCTGGGTACTCGCTGGGAAACAGCCCAAAACAAATTGAGATGCGTTTGAAACTGCTGATTGGCCCTGATTTTTTCAAGCTACCATCCCCCTCTGCGCATAGCTTTTAATGAGCCAAGATGGATATGATTTGTTTTCCAGACCCTATTTAGCACCCAAGACAACTATCAGATAGCAACCCCTCATTGCAGCGATTTGAACTGTCAAGGCGACGACGAGCGCGGAGTGGTCCGGGCATTCGTGACGTTCCGGAAGGAGAGGTCAATTGGGCGGTAGAATGGCTTGCGGGCGTCGAATGTGTGTCAAATCTACGGTGGGACCCTAGTTTGGAGGTAGGTATCGCCGTTGTGTCCCCGCCAAACGATGACCGGGTTTTTGGATCAAGGAACCGCTTGGGAGGCAGCCATTGCGGTGCTTTGAGGCGAGCTGAATTGCGGCTTGTTCTCAATCCGGACTCGGAAGGCGAGCTACAAGTCGAAGGTGCTGAACCACTACCGCTTCTCCACGTTCACCCTTTTCCGCTGTTGTCACTTGGATGCTGATTTTAAGCAAACGGTGTGGCTGCACTGAGAGGTTCTTACGGTATGAGTAAAGGGTGGGGTAGATCAGGGTGCTCGTGGGCGGTGCTTTTCGGCCGCGCAGGCTCGCGCAAAAGTTTCCTTGTGAGATGTTCATGTGCATTTCGACTGCGCAGGCTCGCACAAAGTGCTTAGACAAGTTTGGTGACTTTCGCTGTGGTGCCAAGCGAATTCCGAAAATGACTGATTGGTGAACCCTCTACGGACGCGAAATCAACCCTTTGCAGACTTTAGGTGTGTCGAATTGCTGTCGCTGTGGTGAGGCACGCTTTTTGAGCGTCTCGCTGTGGCGCGGCACGAATTTTGAACATTGAAAGTAAACCCTCTCCAGACTTTTGGGCGGGCCGGATCGCCGTGACACGGCAAAATTTGAACATCGCCAGTGAACCCTCGAGGAGCTTGGGTGTGTCGGACGGCGCGGTGCAAATTTGGAACATCGAAATTCAACCCTTTGCGGGGGGGCAGCGGTGCACAGTTTGAACATCGCAATTGAACCCTCTACAGACTTTGGCGGGTCAAAGCGCTCTGGTGGCGCAGCACACGTTTTGAACAACGTGTGCAGACGTTGAAGACAGGGCCTGCAAAGATTCTCTTGCAAGAGATCTTGTAGAGGGTGCTCTCTACAGATCTTGGACACAGGGCTTGAACACAAGCAGGGTCCTCTCATCAATGAGATCCTATGCCGAGATTCTGATCTTGCCAAGAGATGCTAGAGATCTTGCGCGTGCAAAGGCTTGTTGAGATGCTATTGTAGAGGTGCTCTTTACAGATCCTGATGAGAGAACTTGTAGAGGATTGTCTTGGAGATCCTGCGCGCAGATTGCCAAGAGGTCCTATCAAAGGATCCTATTCACAGATCCTGCCACGATCCTTCCACAGAGATCTTGTCCAGGACTTTCTATGGAAGGATGAGTGGGCTTTCTTTCAGAGAAATCGTGTGTGGAAATCCCTTGCCACCGGAGATCTTCATCTTTCAGAAGAATCTGCTTGAAGAGCGCGTGCAAGACCCGCAGAGACTTTAAGCTTGCTTGCGCGGAGTCCTCTCATTCTTGTTGCGGCGCTTGTCTGAGAGTCTGAGGCCAAAGGAAGGAGCTGCGCTTTGCGGGGAGCCCGCTCTTGGCGCGGAACGCCTGCGAGCCCAGCGACCTCTACTGGGAGAACTTGGATTTTGCCATGTGGAAGCGGGCGATCCGCATTCGTGCCTTGGTTGGACGAAAACCCCCGCAGGGGTTGTGAAAAAGAACGGGCGCCAGTTTTCTCACGCGCGCTGGGAAAACACGTCTAAGCGAATCTGGCGGGCCAAGGTGCAAGGGCACGAGGCGTCCCAGTGAGCTACCCCTAAAAAGAGTGCTTGCTGGAAGTTTCCGGAAACATGTTTGTGTGTCGTGCTTGTACACAAAGGAAGCTTTACACGTGCCATGTTTGCACTTTCCAGAGGGCTCACACGTGTCAGCGACGTAGTGATTCTTCAACAACATGCACCATTATTACTTTTACCACTATTACTATTTGTTTTTAAGCATCATCATTATGTGCGAACAGTATACTTATATATACACATGTTTTCTTATGCATAACTGTGTGGCAATTTGCTTTGATTCCTGAGTTTTTGTGGTGCTGCTGACCGTCATCTTGCTCATCATTTGCGCGGCGACGCTGGTGTTCTTCCAGTCCCTGTCCAAGTCTACGCTGGCCAGCACGTGCCGGGGCTCAGTAGAGTCATCCATTTCCTCCATTTTGCTTGGATGTTAGGACTTTAACTTTTTGCCAACTGATGGGTTTTCCATTAAACCACTAGAAGTTAAACTTTTAGCAGGGAAGCAGAAAGCAACCGAGAGCCCCCCTCCTTTTCAGGGCGCTGTATATACAACTGCCAAAGGGGAAACCTGGCCCTAAGTTAGGTTGGGGACTTCCATGCCCCATTTAGAGACAAGCCCAATGTTTCCACAATCAAACCGCATCGGATTGCATGAAAGGCTATTGTAGGGCCAGGCTTCTTTTGATTCTTACCATGGGTTTTGGGTCGGCTCCTTCAACGCGTCTTGACAACGGCTCAAGCTTTGAAGCTGATGACTGCTGATATCAGTGAGTATTTTGACCGTGAGGCGGGGAAAGTGATGCAGAGCCGGAAAGCAGGTTGCAAGGGTCGAGTGGGCGGGCCTCCTGGTTGAGAAGGTGTGCGTGCTGTTCTCCCATGCAAATTCCGCCAACAAAAGCAGGCACGAGCGTTCTCAGGCCTTTCTTTGGCAATCACTCTCTCCTGTGCGCATTGCCAAATGCTTTGAGTTTTGTCTTGGCATGGTCCTGGCTATTTGCAGAAAAAGCCGCACCCCAATCACACCCTTCCAATATTGATCCAACTTGGAATGCTCTTTTCCTTGCCCTGACCCCATTTATGCTCGGTTTTTTTCGCTCCAAGGGCCAAGGCTTTCACCTCGCATCGTGGTTGTCCAGGAGCGAGGCCCTGGTCTGGGTGGTGAAGTCCACGCCCAGCACGGGCACCTGCCTGTCCTTCTGCGACTTGGAGTTCTTCAACGACCGGCTGTGCTCCGGCAATGCAGACACCTCCGATGACTGGCCTACTGCCAAGGCGAGTTGGGTGAAGAGGAGGGAGGAGGGAGGTGGGAGGCATGCGCAGAGAGTGCCAATCTGTTCTCGCGCGATTGGCGCCTGTGGGTCCCAGAGATGCTGGAGGGTTGGGTTGCCGGGCAGCTTGAATGGCAACCACAGCCCGACAGTTCTGGAGCTGCAAACTGCTTGCAGGGTGATAGGTTTCAGCTCGTGGCCACGACAAATTGCGCTGGGAAGTTGGGCCTCAGTTTATCGCTTGCTAAGTTGATGTGAATGGGATGCACATATCGACTCTGTAACTGGACGCTCATCAATCCGACCATTCTGGGCTGCCCAGAGCCTGAGCAAAAGCAAGGCAATGACATACTTGGGTTACTTGGAGCACATTGGCCTGCAGACTCATGCACCTCTGTTAAATGCGAGAGTCGAAACACAAGTGCCTGTATGCACATTGGCTGGGAGCACAACGGGAAGTTCTAGGCCCACAGGTGTCAAGGTCCTTTGTGTCACACCCCCTCCCCCCGCCCTGGCCGGCCCCCCATTTGGCACAATCAGCTGTTTGACGCGCAGAGGGTCTTATCGCGCACGAAATGAGCCACAGTCGGTTTTTTGAGCTTCACGTACCAGATGTCCAGTACACTTTCAAGGAAACCAAGTGATTGGAGTTGATTCCTCGCGCCATGGGCTGTTTTTGCCCTTCTTTGGGCTTTTGCAAAAACAAAAGCGCAGGTCTTTTTGCCTATTTCTATTCTCAGCCATAGTTTTTTTGCCCAACCGATGTTTTTTTTTCTAGCAGAAAATACAATACCCTCCCGCCGACTAACATGGAAGTGCACAGACCCTTTAGAAAGTCGACCTTCCTCTTGGATTTGGAGGCTCAAGGTGCACAAACTTGGCCCATGGGGGCTGAAGGTGCACAAATTTCATGTTAGTTGGTGGAGCCATGCGCGTCTAAGAATGAAGAAACGGCCATGCTCGTTGGCGTGCGCAGGTCTTCGACCAGTTCAACGACTACGGGCAGATGAACTCCAGCTGCTCCCAGAAGTGGAGCTCCCCCTGCACCTCGGCCTCCGACTACCAGGCGGCCTGCGGGGCGGCCGTGGCGGGGGCGACGGACTGGCTCGGCTTCCAGTTCGAGACCAAGCAGCAGGCGGCTCGGAAGCGTTGGACCGAGGTGAGGAGCGCTCCAAATGGAGGGGGGAAGCGACTCAGACCACAGAAAAACAGGAGCATCCTGGTGCTTAGAAGAATCGGCGAACCTCACAACACCCTCAACTGACTATGAAGCACTTCATATTTGACTCAAAAGAAACAAGCTTGGCATTGGACAAGGAGTCGAGGAATGCTCCAAATGGGTTTCGGAGTTCCACTTGGAACTTTTAAGGGGTCTTGCTTGAATCCAGAAGTGTCATGAAGTTTTGTTGTTTGTTTCCTCGAATGTGGCCTGGCAGAGGGCTCACAGAAATCTGCTCCGAAAGTGAGGGGCCAAATGCAAGCTGAATTCTTTTGTTGGTCGCTTGTTGGCCACCTGGATCCATCTGGATCCATCTGGATCCATGTGGCGACCCTCCGGACGGATGGACCTTTCGTGCTGGCAGGTGCAGTGCTGGCAGGCGACACTCCCAGACAACACCCCGGTCAGCGAGGCGAAAAGTCGCGTTTAGGGAGAAGTCGCAAGCTCCGGCTGATAGGGATTGGGTTTCTAGTGAAGTAAGTAGCCAATGGGTTTGAATTTGATCTCTGTGGCCCAACGTCGATACATTGATACTCCATGATTGACAGCAGCCTGTTTGTGGTGTCCTGCTTGGTGGATGCCGTCTTTCGGCTTGGAGTCGGTGGCACCCAACTCGGGTGAAGGGAGGTGGGCTGGATAGTTGGTGGCCAGCTCACGGATCAATTCTCATAGAACCGCACGAGAAAATTACGATTTTCTGGCCATTCTTTGGAGTCTCTCCCATCGGTCGGTTTGCTGGTTGGTGGTTGGTTGGTTGATTGACTTGACTTGTTGGCTTCTTGGCTTCTTGGCTTCTTGGCTTCTTGGCTCTTGGCTTCGGTTCTAGGCTTCTTGTTTTTTTTTTTGGCCAACAGACTGTCAGGTGCCCATGACAAGGGCCCCACGCAAGGAAAAGGGGCTCCCCCTTCAGGAAGTAGCCCTGATGCAGATACGACAGTCATGGCATAGCGAGCCAATCCAGAGGGCCCTTGCGCTTACGCGCTTGGGCTTGATTTCAGGGCTTGGGATCCACTGTCGAGCGAAGGCAGTGTCACGTGCGCGGCGTTGTCCTGCACCTCTGTGATTCGTGCTTGAGGTTCGACAATGCGGAGTAGCAAGCTGGGTTTATTGTAGCTAAGCCCCAAGCACAAAGCAGGTGGGGCTTAGAGATTGAGTGGCGCTCTTAGCGGACTATGGTGTCAGACTGTCGAGCAATGTAGATTTGCGCAAGTTGCTAGTTTTCGCGATGCCAAGGCTCGGGAAAAGCTGTTGCCACAGCTGAGCCACGGGTAAAGTTCAATTCCACGGAGCGAGATCGGCTTCGGCTGATTTGACATGGGACCACCCAACTGCCCCAGCCTCGTATTCCCCAAAAGCAGATACGGTTAAACCGCTGGGACGTAATTTTGTCAGTTGCTTAGTTGAAGACCAGGCAAGTGTGTGAAGCAACTCGAGAAAGCCCCTGCACCACTCCCGGCACAGACACATCTTGAGGCATACATGCAAGACTTGTGCAGGTTGCTTGACTGCCGGAGTTTAGAAGCCCCTTTTGCCCTGAAGACCCGCTTACTTGGGGTTAGTATGGATGGTCATGGACCAGTTGCGCAGAGTTTTGACAGCCACTATGAATGAATGGGGATGCTTATTAACCAGGGCCGAAGTAGGTTTGAAGATGGTGCATGTTGGTGTTGCTGGGTTTTGCTCCTATCTTCTTTGGCCCGGCCAGGAGATGTACTACGCGAAATACAACCAAACTCAACATGCAAACATCATCGGTGCAAAAAGAGCCAGCCATTTCTGGGATCAGGGGTTAGGCCAAACAAGTTGCCAGGTCAAGGTAGGTCAGGTAGGTCAGGTAGGTCAAGGTCAGTTCGTAAGTTGCTTTAGGCCAACAAGTTTTTTCAAAATGTCTCCACCATTCTGACTTCAAGATCCACTGCTTCAAGTTCCCTGTACACAAGGGCTTGGGTCTCGTAGTTCATCCTCTCATCTTGCACCCTGGTCAGGGCCCCTCCAAGCGGAAACCAACTGGGTCAACGTTTGGTAGCATCTTGCATCGTTGCAGTTGACTAGAATGACCAGACCAAGAAAAGCACCGTGACTAGAATGACCAACGAAAACAGCTTGACTTGACTAGACTGAACCAAGAAAAGCACATCATTCCTAGGTCTGGAGTTGAACGAAGCCAAGGGAGTGACACGCGTCTGACAGTCTGACGTCGCCGGTCGCCAGGTTCAGATCTTCGGTTGCCCCACCGCGCCCCCGCCGGTGGCGGAGCGGGGCTGCTGGGCGGTGGAAGAGAACTGCGCGCCCTTCTACGCCAACAAGGAGCTTCGTTTCAGCCGCTTGAGACTGGGGGCTTGAAGCCCATACATCCCCCATAAAACCCCTTTTTAAAAACGGCGGAAAAATGGGTTCAGTGGGGGATTCTAGCACATTTGGAGAGGAACGCCGCCCTATGAATAAACTGGGGTTGATGAACATGGGGTCAGCATTACCTTCGTTTCTGCACCAGGTTTGTTTGTTTCAGCCTGTTGGTCGGTCAACTTCTTGCTTCATTGAGGGGTCCTTCGGTGAATCAGTGCAGGATTTTACCCTAGGTCCCCCAGTAGTGCCCCTCTCTCCCCTACTACAATAGACTACAGAAGAAAATCGGGTACCCTTATTCTAACCTCTCTAGTACAGGTCTCAAGCTGTGCCCAATCGACGCAAGTCGCAGGAGCTCACGGCAGCGAGCACAAGCTGGCAATCGCTCAACAACAAGGTGGTGGTTTTTGGGGTGTGGATTTTTGCATGGCCAATGGCACTTTCATTTGCTTAAGATTATTTTTTCTATTTTCCCCTGGTGGTTTTAAAGGGAATGTATCACAACTGAACTTTTTTTTTCTTTAACAAACATATTTTTTTCCAGGGTCTCAACCAAATGGACGTGCGCTTTCGTCTTGGACATGAGTGTTGCTTGAGCTTTCGTCTTGGACAATGAGCGTTGCTTAAGATTTCCAGCCCTTTGGGGTTGGTTTATGAAGACGCTTGAACACCGATCATTTCCGCGGGAAGCTAGAAGTTTTGGTGGGAGAAACATCGTGAACCATGACTGGCAGCCGCAAAATCTTCCCTTTCAATCATTTCTGGCGAAAGGTCACGCAAATAAAACGAATCATAGCCAACTGTTGATGCTCGCTTTGGCCATGTGTCCCGATCTGAGATGCCAATGCTTAGCGTGCAGCGAACTGGCTTCTTGGCAGTGCTTTCTTTGGAGGTCCAAAAGGCGGAGCCTAGCGAACTCAGCGGAAGGAGACGGTTGCCAGGAACTTTGAACCTTTCGCAATGAACTTGCGAAGCCAGGGCACGCTTCCTTCCGTCGGACCGGCCTCCCCGCGAGATTTTTGTGAGGGAGCCCACATTCACTTCCGCATCTTTGGTTTTCAAGGTGAGACTAACTTGTGTAACGGGGGGTGGGTTGAATGAAAGGAGACATAGCCAAGTTGATCTGCCCTTCGAATCGTCTCCTGGATCACACCGCTTACAGGCGGATGTCTTCTTGGTCCAAGTGCCTCCCAGCTTACGCCCAAACTTTGGGCTCCACGGGCCCTCGGAGTATCTGGGACCCTCACCAGATGGCCCTAAACGGGTAGCACGAAAGTCCTGTGGTACTTCAAACTGGGCAAACCATGGGGACCTCTCAAGGGGGTGTTGCAAGCTCACCCAAAATGAAGGCTCCTTTCATAGAAACCCCTTGTGCTCTGGTAGTGATTTCTCAACTAAAAACAGCATGGTCAAGCAGTTCTTGGCCCCCACACAAAGTCAAAGAGCACTTTAGTTGGGCCAAACATCCAGGATGAGCCTTGATTTGGGTCACTCCACCTCCTTTCTTGGGAGGTGTCCGCAGACATGTCCTGCAACGCCACCATCGAGCTGGATGTGGCGAAAGCACGCTGGGAGGGCTTTGCCGAAGGCAGCCGAGATTTCGGGGGGGGGGGGGGGGGGGGGGGGGGAATTGGGTAGATGGCTTTGGCTTCACGACTCAACTGTGCCATGAGATCATTCGCATAAGCGAGGGACCCGAAAACTAGTGAAAACCAGGAAGTCGGGCTTTACTCTTGTAGGTCTTGGAGATCCCCTAAAAGTGTTCACCACAAGTTTAAAGGAGAGGTCCCTTTACTTCCCTGAAAGGGTATCAAGAGGTACATATCAGCAAGGGACCACGCTGGCGGGTACCGGTATAACATGAGCAGAGCACGGATTGCCTGATGGTTTTTGAGCCAAGAAGCGCGGGGTCCATCATGGGTGCGGATGTGGCAATGTGCGTGTGACTTCTTCGACCCTGTTCAACGCGGTGGTTTTGACAGAAATGACTCAAACAGGAGTTGCTCCATTTTGGAAGCCACATTTGCTACCGGAACTGGGGTAGACTTAAGATACATTTTACATTTTACCAGTGACTCAAAGTGAAGCAAGCACTAAAATATACATTCTACAACTGGGCCTAGCTCTACTCCTGGGAACTCGTGAGGCTCGAAGTCGTCGCCTCGAAGCCAAATCGCGAGGCTCGGAGGAGCGGTTTCTGAATCCCATCGTCAACTGCTTCTGCCAGCAGCTCGGACTGATCGGGTCACGCGTCCATGGAAGTCGCTCGCTGGTCTGCGACCAGCCGAGGAGTTGGTGCCCACCGCGGTGTTTGAGTCGTTTTTCTTGTGACAAATGGGTCAAAACCAATGGTCACCCATTTTGGGGCAGGTGCACCACGCATGTTAGTCTATTTTTGTGGGGATTGGGATGCTCACTGGGGGCTAACCGGGCTTTTGACCCATGGCCTTGTGACAGATGGCATCACAGCGGCCACTTCTCGAGCACTGGAAGCTTGAGCCAGTCAATGCCTTCCAGCCTTCCAGCCTTCCAGCCATCCCCGGCGGCAGCGAGTAGAGTCATCGAGGAAGGATCGCTTAGACTGGGTGTGGTGCAGTTTCTCGCCGTGCATGGGTATATGGTGATGCACATGCGGGTAATCTACTAGGCCCCCCAGCTTGGTGCCCTTTTTGCCCTGCTAAAATAGACAACAGAAAAGAGTGTACCCTTATTCTAACCTCTCTACTGGAGGACCTAGTCTATGGTGGACGGTGAGGTTGCCGTGGCACAAATGCCTCTGCATCCTCTGCTCAAGTCTTGCAAAGGTCCCATGTTCGGTGAGATGCATCCCCTTTCGAGCCGGTTTTAGGCCCCTATGGCGGATGGCCCTCAAAAAAAAGGAGCAGCAAATCTGGGAGGCAACAAGTGCTCAGCGTGGGCCCCGCGTTCACCTTCCCGCCCTACGACACCGAGGCCTGGGGCATCCCCCCCCAAAAAAAAAAGAAGAAGAAGAAGAAAAGACATGAAAGAAAAGTGCTCCTTCTGCTCTCGTTGGTTTCCCAAGGAACAAAATTATCACCCAGGAGGCAGGAGGACAAGTGAGAGAAAAAGAAAAGAAGAAAAAACACCCAGGAGGACATGCCAAGCGCTGTCCAGGCTGTCTCGGTCCAGTGGCAAGCTTTCATGGTCACGGGTCACGGGGCAGCGAAGCCAAATGATTAGAACTCGGACAGATTTGTACGCAGATGAGCCTCCCCCCCCCAATGAAACAAAATCCATTCCCATTCTCCATTTGGATTCTGGAAGACGCATCCAAAGCCTTGGACAAAGGGATGTCCATCCCCGAAGGAATCAGTATTCCACGAAGATGTATTACCATGCCCTTGAATATCATGGGAGTGGTCCATCAACTGTCTGGAAGCTATCAACCACCCTTCCTTGTTCTTGTTCAATCCCTCAGAGGGATGGATGATTGTTCGACATTTTCAGCCCTGAAATGATACCATCCGGCTCCAATAGATTGAAGAGGTTCCCTGGCATGTAGTGCCGCCGTTTTTTGTTGTTTGGTTTTCTGGCCTTTTGCCTGGGTTCTCTTCTGCAGGAGAAGAAGGTCTGTGAGGACTGGATCGTGAACAACGCCATGGTCGTCGTGAAATTGCTGGGTGCCACTGGCATGGTGCTGATCATCAATCAGATCCTCCTCTTCATCTACGAGTACTTGGTGTCTTTCGAGAGGCCACGCGCAGACGGGCATATGTGTTGTATGGGTCAAAGGGTGACCCACTAAGAAATGTGCTTTTCCTTTTGGTTCCCCTTTGGAAAGGGTCCCCTCTATCTTGAGGTGAGCTCCAGCTAAGAAACTTGCACTTGCGGGTTCACTCCACTTGGAGAACTTGGGTCCGGAGCTAGTCTCGCTAGCGAGTGAGTCTCCAACGCAGGCACTGTACCGTGACGGAGGTGGCGCTGAGCCAATTTTGGAAGCTCTTCCTGGCTCAGATGGTGAACACCGGGATCCTGGCGCCTGAGACGCGAATGTCCGGAGTCCAGTGGATTTGTTCTGGGCATTGGGCGCGTTGGGGCAACACGTGGCGAGGGAACACCCGAACGAGGTTGGGGGGAGAGAAAACAAGGGATTTAGGATGACTGGGGGCCGCCATAGCGGGCGTCAGGGTTCCCATGGAGGAAAGGATCCGGCACTTGGGTGACTCGTTATCCCCTTCCTGACAGAAGCCCATCAGAGAGCAGCATTGAGGGAGAAAAGAAAGGGGACCAGGGATAGCCAAAGTAGAAGCGGGTGGGAACATATGGTGTTGTGCCAGCGGCATGCACTTGGTGATTTAACATGTTATGTTTGTTATTTCCGTGAACTCATTTTTGCAGCATGGCAATGCCATAAGGAGCTGGCAGCAGTTTGTCATAGAATGCCTCTCTCGGAAGCGCGAAACCCGCGCGTGAGTGGCGTACCAAGAGTTTAGGCGGCTTCAGGGCCCAAGAATACCCCACACTTCAGCCAATGCAAGTTCAAAACCGCAACTCACCGGCCATGTTCCCTCCCCTTTTGTCATAGAGCACCTTAAGGTTTAGGAGACAATGGTTGTTTTGCAGTTTTGGTGGTGCTACAAGCATGTGAAGGGGCAGTTGGCATCCATCCCTCGTGACGTGCCGCCGAGTGAGGCTGTTGGTTTGAACAAACGCTATCCGGTTGTCCCTCAGCGCTGGTTCTTTCTTGAGGGTGTCGCTCCAAAACCAACGCCCAAAATAGGGTGTCTCCGTGGTGCAGAAAGCCGAGAGTTGTTCAACAGTTTGTGAAAGGAATGTATGGTGCACTGTGCCGAACCCCCCCTCCCCCCCACCCCTGGTCATGTCATACAGGACCCTCCCGTCTTCCCGTGGTGCCACGTATAGAGTTGTGCACTTCATTCCTTTTTGACTGTGCCTTCTAGGCTTTTGAGACACGATTGCCCCCCCGGGAAACCGGTGTCCTTTTCTTTTCCCAGATGTTGCCCATGTTCTCTCTTTCTGGGGGGGGTTCCCTTCAACAGCAACCCCCCCAAAAGGGGGTACCGGCTAACGGGGTACCCCTCTTTTTCCATGGCCGGAGGTTGGAGGTTTGGATCGTACCCCTCTTCCCTGGGAGGTTGGGGATGACCCCCGCCCTTTCGGCTCGAGGTGCTGCTGGTGAACGCGTCCTTGAACCTGCCCACGGCTCTGGCCTTCCTCAGGGCGGGGGGGGGGGGCAATTCTCGGGTGTGTGCTGGGCCCCAAATGGGTGTGGTGGTCACAGAGAGAACCGCAAAGTGGGTTGCCGTGGTAAGGTTTTTGCAAAAAAAATCACGAAAACCGGCCAAATCCAATCCCTGGTGGTTTTTCTTTCATTTTTACTCCGGAAGCCTTGGAAAAGCCTTAGACAAAACCGCGGCTCTCTCTGAAGCGCGGGCAGAAAGAACCACTCCGAAGCCCTCGGAACCTCCAATCCAACCGCTCCAACCAGGAACCCAATCCAACTGCATGGACCTCCCCAGAAACCCATGGCATCTTGCCTCTTGAGCCGCACTCCGGAGAAGACCCGCGGGGCAACCCCGGCGGAGAACATGAGACCATGGTTGGCCTGTTGGAATCTCTTGCGAAGGGTCGATGTAGCCGGTAGGGACGCATTCCCACTCTTGATTCTCAAACATGGGACCCTGGCTTCCTTCAACGTGGGGGGGTGTTCCTCTCGCCTTTCCGAACTGAAGCGGCAAAAAGATTGCCCGACCACTGGCCAAATGGTAATTTTACCGCTATGAAAGTAAGTCCCTAAGTGGGGAAAAGGGACACCGCCCCAGTTTCCGACTTTGATACCCCCTAGAAACTCTTACAATAAATTCCCCGAGACCCTTTTTTTAAGAACGCCAGGTGATGAATATCGGCAGCGGCCAGTTCGACGAGCTCTCGGTGTCCTGGTACGTGTCCGTGGGCACAGGCATTTGCATCACCATTTTCGTGCAGGCGGAGAGTTCGGTTTTTGGCGCGCGCGGAAAAAGCCGCGGGGGTCTGTCACTTACGTGGCGGGGCCTGGCGCATGTCGCCTGGGAAAGCGCCTGTTGAAAGGCGAAGGGCAAAGGAGGGTTGGAAATATGTGAGAAGTTGAACGCGTTTGAAGTCCCGAAGAAAGAGAGAGAGAGAGGGGGGCAAAACGGGGACACCGAACTGGAAGTTCAGTTGCACCTCGCAATGACACCCTTCTTGCCTCAGAGCCGATCATTTTTGCTTGCAGAATTTTAGACATCAGCCAAGCAATTTGAGATGGCTTGTTGGAGCCACCGCACCCCAACAAGCCCACGGGAGGCTTCACAAAAAAGGGGGCCCGCATTTGTTAGGTGACCCGGCTCCTTTCAAGTGTAGTAAGTGTGTGTGTGTGCTTTTGCGGGTACCCTGTCCAGGTCTTTTCTTTGGAACTGCATGAGATGTGCACTTCACACGTTGACCATGCGGATGAACCGATTCCCGCAGACCTTTTTATGCTTTGAAGGAGAAAAGTCGCCCCGGAGGTTTGCAGGTTATGAGCCCAAGCCGCTCGCGCACATGGAGGTGATGAGGCGGCGACGGTCCGGCCAGGTAAGCCCTGGCGGGGAAGTCGAGGAGAGCCGGGCACTGGCCGGGGGCGAGCTGGTGGCGGACGAGGGAGAAGATCCTGAGATGGGTGAGCCGATGGAGGGTGATGACGCCCTGGAGGTTCACTCGGCAGATGGCCGTGCATCCACCAGGGAGGCATCAACGGCAAGATCGGCGAGGAGCTCATCGAGGACGAGGGAGACGTCACCGAGGGCCCTCAGGCCGGGCATGGATGATGAGCCTTTGGTGGAGAGGGAACCGAGCTCTACGGCCTCTAGGCAAAGGAGCGCTTCAGCGCAGAGCTCTATGGCATCTGCGAAGCCAGGGAGTACCACGAGGTCGAGCCCTTCGGCATCTAGGAGAGCGGGCTCTATGGAGAGGGCCGGTGATGGCCCGAAGGCAGGAGCGGAGGTGAATCCCTTTTGGTCCAAGAGGGTGCAGGAGGAGGTGAGGCTTCGTGAAGCGAGGCCGGAAGGACTGCCACCGGTCCCGGAGTCAGGTGATGAGGAGGAGCCGGTCAGGACACCTTTGAAGGCTGCGGAGGGAGAAGCAGCCGCGAAGAGGAATCGGGCCAGGGCCTTCATGTCGCCGGAGGAGCGGTTGGCGGATGAGAAAAGGGAGTTGGCCTTGCAGGCGGTCAAGAGGGATCTGAGACGGATCGGAGGAGAGGGTCCGCCGGAGGAGGGCGGGCGGAACAAGGGGCCTTCAGGTGGAGGCGGAGAGGATTGGGATGGCGCCGGAAGCGCAGGAGACAAGGGAAGGCCAGCCACACCTGATGACCGTCTGGAGGGGGAACTCAGCAGGGTGATGATCGAGGAGTACGGTGCGGTCAATATGAACCTGGCTGAGGCGTTGCGGCAACGGAATGAGCTGCGACATAAGGTGGAGCGACTGGAGCTGGAGAAGATTGTGGTGGAAGCGGAGGCCGAGCAGAACCGGAGGATGGCGGAGCTGTGGGAATCACGGGCGCGGCAGGCTGAGAAGCACGTGGAGCTCTTGACGGACCAGATCACGGTGCTGGAACAACGGCCTCAGCAATTTCACACGCCGCAGCAAGAGGAGGAGCCGCAGCCACCGAGGCCGGAAACCCCCCCACCACCGCCTCCGGGAATTCGATCCAAGAGGCAAAAGCTGGAGATGACGCCGGGTGGCACCAGGGTGCCGCAGGATCCACCCCCTTATGATCATGAATGGCCAAACCCAGAAAACGGTTGGGTCATGGACGGGGTGAGTTACAAGCCGGCATGGGGGCGCTCGAGGTCTACGTCAAGGGAGGAGAAGCCGGCGGCAAGCAGACCGAGGTGGACAAGGTCGAGGTCGACTTCCAAGGACGGTGGTGAGGCACGGAAACCCGAGGAAGGGAAGCCAGCAATTCCAGTGGCGCCCCTGCTACAGCAGAAGCCAAAGAGTCGGCCGGAGGTCAAGGAGATGCCCAACGAGACTGGACGGGCTACGGATCTGCCGGAGCTGGTGGGCGACGGAAGCCCGCTGACATTTGGGGACTGGATGGCCACGATCGACCACTACATGAAGGACATTTCGACCTACAGCGCGATGTGGTGGGAGGAGGTGTGCGCTAGTGCGAAGGAGGCCTACGCGGAGTGGTTGGTGGCGAGCCCGTTGCAGAGACTGCGCATCAAGCCGGAGCTGCCGCTGGTCTGCATGGATTTGCCTCGCACTGAGCAGAGAGGGGTGGCCATGGTCCTCAAGGCGCTCCCGGAGAGCGTAAAGAAGGAGCTGGTGGCCAACAGGCAGTTGAGCATGGTGAACATCATCTATCGCCTGTACATCTTGTACCAGCCAGGAGGAGCCTCGGAAAGGCAGCAGATCCTGAACGCGCTGCTGGACACCAAGGGCGGGAACGCTTCGGAGGTAGCTAAGCAGCTGAGGTCGTGGAGGCACTGGAGGAAACGGGCGCTGGAGCTGGGAGTGGCGCTGCCGGATGCCACGTTGTTGGTGTCGGCCCTGGACAAGTTCGCTGCGGCTCTGTCGAAGCTGGATCAGCAGAGCAGCTACCGAATGTCCACGGTGAGAGCGGAGCTGAACCTGGACACGAGGCCGACTCAGGAAGCGGTGGAGAGCTTCGCGGAGTACCTCCAAGCGGAGTCCGAGACGGCGGAGTTGGCCAAGGGCGGCAAGGAGACCGCTCCCAAGGTGAAGGCGATGGGTGGTGCAGGAAAGGAGGAGGCTGGACCCTGGAAGCCATCGAGTGGTGGTGGGACTCCCGGGAAGCCGAGGGTGGTGGATTTGTCGAGGGCGTGCAAATGGTACGCGACCGACGCGGGTTGCAGGTTTGGCAAGAACTGCAAGTTTGCCCATGTGTGGGACAGCCTGGATCGGCAAAAGGAGCGGTGCTGGAACTGTGGGAGTTTGGAGCATCGCAAAGCGGAGTGCCCGCGGCCTGGGCCCCAAGGTGGCCCGGGAGGAGGTCAAGCTGCGGCTGGAGGGGGCGAAGGAGCCAAGAGGAGAGCCGGAACACCGCCGGGAAATAAGGGGGCGGTGAGGAAGGCTGCTGGAGGAAAGAGCCATGCGGCGGAACCGGTGGTGGAAGAAGAAATGGAGGAGGTCGCTGTGGAGGAGACCGGTGGGAAGGACAAGCTGATGGCAGAGGCGACGCAGCTGTTGAAGAGCCTCAGGATGAAGAAGCTCAAGGCGGCGAAGCTGTCAAAGATCGGGGAGTGCCAAAGTTGGGGCCTTCTTGATGGAGGGGCCACGCATGCGCTCAGGCAAGCGCGGAAGGGGGAGACAGGGGAGGACCGCATGGTGGAGCTTGCGGACGGCCGGGAGGTGGCAATGCAGATGACGGAGGGTCACACTTTGATCTGCAAGGAAGCCACGCAGGTCATTGTGCCGCTTGGAGCGTTGTACCTGCTGGGCTACAGGATCCGCTGGGAGGAGGGTATCTGGAGGCCCGTTGCCGGTGAGGATGAGGCAGTTTTGCCCGGAAGTCCCGACGGAGGTGGCTCTGAGGTTGGTGGAGGAACTGGAGGAGTTCAACAAGGGGTTGCTCAGGAGGGCGGCGACAGCGGCGACCAAGAGCATGAGGAAGCCGGACGTCAAGAAGGGCCTGTGCGGCAGGGTGGCGGAGGCGTGGAAGAAAGGAGAGATGGAGAAGGTGAAGGGGGAGTTCGAGCAGCTCTTCCCGGAGGTGCCGGTGGCGCTGCTGGAGAGGGCCCTGGGCACAGGAGAAGGAAGGGGAATCGCCTGGAACCGGGCGGCGAGGAGGAGGCATGCCAAGGCGACAGGGTTGATCCTGCATCTCTTCGCCGGAAAGAGTGCGAAGAAGTTCAACTACGGGCAGTGGGACAGGGAGATCATTGCGGTGGACATCCTGTCGGGCCAGGATTTGCTTGAGGAGGACACCTTCGGGTACCTGGCTGGTTTGGCGGCGGAGGGAAGGACGGAGGGGGTCATGGGTGGACCGCCGTGTCGGACGTATTCCTACTGCCGGCACTTTGAGCCTGGCCCTTATCCGGTCCGAGGAAGAGGAGAAGAGCGGTTTGGCTATGAGGAGCTGAGCGAGGTGGAAGCAAAGAAAGTGGAGGGCGACAGCGTCTTGATGCTGCGCATGTGGATCCTGGCGGTGCTGGCGAATGGTGGCCGGGAGCTGGTGGGTCGGAAGGCATGGATGGTCAAGGAGCACCCGGAGGACCCGAGGAGCTTTGTCAGTGAAGAGGAGTGGGAGAGGGCCAAGGCCCGGGGGGGCGAACCGCCTTCGATCTGGGATTGGCCGGAGGTCGCGGCGATGGAGGAGGTGCTGGGACTCATCAGGGTGAAGTTCGACCAGGGTGCGATGGGCCACATAAAGAGGAAGCCGACGATGCTGTTGACCAGTATCAAGGACCTACGGCAGCTGGACGGCATGAGAGGACCTGGAGTTGGAGGAGCGGGGAACCGCGAATCCAGCAGTGGGCAGAATGGGCGCCGGGGTTGGTGGCGGCGTTGGACGAGGCGATCAAAAGGGAGGTGGTGGCAGCGGCAAGAATGGCAAAGGCATCGGCAGAGGAGATGTGGAAGAGCCACGTCGAGAATGGCCATACCCCGTTTCGCCGAGACTGCAGGGCCTGCATCCAGGGGGGACTCAGAGGAAGGAGCCATCGGAAGAGGAGTCACCCGGCCTTGGCCACTTTGGCCATCGACGTGACGGGCCCGTTCAAGACGTCTAAGGAGGGGCATCGCTATCTGTTGGTGGGGTCGTACGTCACGGCGGTGGGGGAGAACATGGCCAAGGAAGATGAGGTGGAGAAGGAAGCCAGGGAAGAAGGGGAAGACCTGAGTGAGGACCCATTTGAGGAGATGTTTGATGAGGAAGGAGCCTTGAGGATAGAAGGTGAGGATAGAGAGGTGAGGGTAGAAGGTGAGGAGAGAGGAGCCGTGAGGGTAGAAGGTGAGGAGAGAGGAGCCGTGAGGGTAGAAGGTGAGGAGAGAGGAGCCGTGAGGGTAGAAGGTGAGGAGGACGAGAGAAGAGAAGAAGAGCATCCAGCTCCGGGGGGGCTGGAAGGTATGGTCACAAGGACCATCATGTTGGTGGAGCCGCTGAAGACCAGGAGAGCAGCGGAGGTGATTGCGGCTACGCAGTCGATGGTTGCCAAGCTTCGGTGGTGGGGTTTCGAGGTGACGAGACTCCATTCTGATCGAGGACGGGAGCTGGTGTCGACAGCGTTGAGGAGGTGGGCGGTGAGTCATGGGCTGTACAAGACGTTGTCAAGCCCAGATGAGCCGCAAGCCAATGGCCGGGCGGAGGCAGCGGTTGGCTGGGTGAAGCGGAAAGCACGGGCGCTGCTGCTGGCGGCGGGGGCCAACGCCAATTTGTGGCATGGGGCAGCGTTGCAAGCGGTGGAGATCAGGAACCGGAAGATCATGCGAGAGATGGGTTCTCCACAGCTGCAGCTGCCGGTCTTCGGTCAAAAGGTGGTGGTGAAGAAGAGGAGATGGAAGAGAGAGGTTTGGGAGGCGATCACGCAGAACGCCACCTATGTGGGGCCGTGCCCGGACATGACCTTCGGTTTGAGGGTGATGGATCAAGGGGGGAGCATCTACACGGTGTCGCAGGTTGTGCCGGAGCCGAGGGACCAGAAGGTGGACATCCCGGTGGTGGGTGAGCTGTGGACCAGGAGAAGGAGGCTGCGAGGAAAGCAGAGAGATGAGGAGGCTGGAGGAGCTGAGGAGGAGCCGAGAATCGGTAAGGTCGAAGCAAGGTAAGGTCGAAGGAAGTGAGGAGCAGGTGGAGGTGTCCTTGGACCCGGAGTGGGTAGGGGTCGGGAAGGACTGGATCGAGGCGATGGCAAAAAGACAGGTGGTGGTCGAGAGAGAAGGATCGGTGCCTGGAGTTGGTCATGGATGACTTGGAGATGGGGGGCACCGGAGAGGAGTGGGCTGAGGTGCTGGGAAGGTTAGACATCCAGCAGAGCTGCACGGAAGAGGAGATGGTGGAGGTCACCCGCGAGGAGCGCCCAAAGGCAGGACTGAGGACGATGGATGTGGTGGCGGAAGAGGAGATGTTCCTCCAGACGAAGATTATCGGGCTGGAGCAGGTGAGGAGAGAGATGGAGCTGTGGGTGCCGACGATGAAGAAGGAGGTCGGTGCGTTGCTGGAGAAGACAGCCATACGAGAGGTGAGAGAAGAAGAGGTGGATAGATGGGAGAGAGAAGGTGAGGCGGTGCAAAGAGCGCCGGGAAAGGCGGTGTTCACCCGCAAGTCAGGTGATGGGAGGCGGAAGTGCCGCGCGGTCGTCTGCGGCAACCAAATCCAGGAAGAGGTAGAAGGAGGGGCTGACGTGTACGCATCCGGCGTGGAGGCTGGCACGGTTCGTGCGCTGCTCCGAAAGGCGGCGGCTATGAGATGGTCGGTGGGCAGCTTAGACATTAGAACGGCGTTCTTGAACGCCCCGAGGAGGTCGTCCCATCGGGTGGTAGTGAGACCGCCGAGGATCCTCATCGATGCGAAGGTGGTGGAGCCGGGCGTCATGTGGGAGGTCACGAAGGCGCTCTACGGGCTGAGGGCTTCACCAGCCGATTGGGGGGCGCACCGGGATGATACCCTCAGGAGGTGGAAAGTGGACATCGGTGGGGGACAGGTGCTGGTATTGCAGCAGGCCTTTGCCGATGAGAATCTGTGGAAGATCAGATTGGGAAAGACCACGGTGGGGTTCATCTGCTGCTACGTGGACGACATGATGATCATCGGGGAGCAGAGCATCGTGGAGGTGATGGCGGGTCACATCAAAAAGGAGTGGGACGCCACGGACCTGGAGTGGGCCAATACCGAAAAGGCGTTGAAGTTCTGCGGGGTGGAGGTGATGGTGAAACCAGGAGGAGGTGGAGAAATCCTCGTGGGACAGGAGGATTACATCAAGGATGTGATCAACCGGTACGGGAGTGAGGTGAAGGAGAAGCTCATCCCGGTACCGAAGGAGATCGAGAAGGACGGGGAGGACGAGGAGCAGGACACGGAGATGGTCCGGAGAGCACAGACGCTGTCGGGAGAGTTGCTATGGGCGACCCGGACGAGACCAGACATCAGCTATGGCGTGAATCGCATCAGCCAGCTGATTGCGCGGCAGGCGAGGCGGGCCTATGACATGGGAATCTACCTGCTGGGCTTCCTCAAGAAGACGATGGAGTGGAAGTTGGAGTTCGGTGCCGCGGCGGAGGGCCACGGGGAGAATGGGGAGTACGTGTATGAGAGGGGCATGAACACGGTGGAGGTCTATGCGGACGCAGGTTTCGGGCCGGATGGAGGCCGCTCGCAGCAGGGGGTCATCGTATGTTATGGTGGCTGCCCAATCCATTGGACGAGCACGAGGCAGCCGTTTGTGGCAAGATCGACCGCGGAGGCTGAGTTGTTGGCAGCCATGGAGGGGGTGCTGCAAGGGGAAGCCTGGGCGGAGATCATCGCTGACCTGGAGGACAGGAAGGTCGCATCGGTGTGGGACAGGGCGGGCATCGATGTGGAAGGGCGGGACCAGCTGAAGTCGTTGAAGCTGGTGATGATGCAGGACAATGCGGCAGCGGTCACGCTACTGCAGGGCCCAGGTGGGTCATGGAGGACGAGGCCACTGAAGATCCGGGCCAGGTCGGCCAGGGAGAGATTTGAGAATGGCTTCTGGGCGCTGCAGCACTTGCCGGGCGAGATGATGTTGGCGGACATCGGCACCAAGGCCTTGGGAAGCTCTCGCTTGAGAGCACTGGCCGAGATGATGGGTATGAAGATGGGCGAGAACGACGCGATCCCGGAGAAGGATGAGGACCTTGTGAAGGTCGGGGAGGGGAACGCGGCCAAGGTGAGGGCGGTGCACAGTATCGAGCATGAGCGAGGCCTGAAGGTCTTGACGGGCATCACGTGCATTATGCTGGCTGATGCAGCGGACATGGAGGATGAGGAGGCTTCCCGGGAGGAGCTTCTGTTTTGGACGGCGCTTCTGGTGGCGGTGGTGGCCGCGTGGGAGGCGCTGAAGTGGAGTGCGAGAAGGGCAGTAGGTGCGGTGCGGAACCTGCAGAAGGGGGAGGATTGCGGGAGTATGTCAACTACCGGAGGTGGGGTGAAGGTGAAGGCTATGCAGGGTGGTAAGGAGAGGGCAAGGCAGAGGTTGCTTGAGAAAAGGGCAGACAGAGAGAGCTCCGAAGAAGGGCAGGAACGGAGCACAGAAGGAGGAGGAAGGCTGGGCAGCAGTAGTTATGCAGGGTGGAAAGTTGGAGGTGGAGATGTGAGGCAGCCCGGGTGCCGGAGAAGAGTTCTGCGGCGGAGTGGAAGGTTTCCTTGGATGAGGATGAGACAGTGGTCTGGGAGGATGTGAAGAAGATCTTCCCGGGGATCGTGAAGGAGCCGGTGGGGACGGAAGACCGCTGGTTGGAGAAGGGCGGCTACTACATCAAGATGCACTGCAGAAGGAGGGTCACGGAGTTTGACCCACGGAGGGGCCACATGCCGAGGGAGAAGATTGGGCCGGAAAGGATCACGGTGATGAGGACGTCGGGGCCTGTCTTCGTGCTGGGCGGCGACTACACGGTGGGGTCGCGGTCTGGCCTGAGGGAGTTCGTGGGTTTCACGATCTTCAAGAAGCTGGAGGTGGGGTCTTGAGCTGGCGCCAAGGAGCGCAAGGTGGCTGAGAGCGATAAGATGCTCGACGCCATACATTTTGGCTGTTGGCACAAAGTGCCAAGGGGGGGTGCATGAGATGTGCACTTCACACGTTGACCATGCGGATGAACCGATTCCCGCAGACCTTTTTATGCTTTGAAGGAGAAAAGTCGCCCCGGAGGTTTGCAGGAACCAAACAGGAGAACCACAATTTTTGGGGTACCCACATAAACCCGCTCTACTGGCGGTGCCCGCTCTTCCACGTTTCTACGACATAAGCATAGTTGTTCTGTATAATATTTAGATGTTTACCTTGCTGGTACTCAGTAGGGCATGAGGGCATGAACACAGGGCTCGCCTTTTTCGGAAACCACCAGTTGGATGCTCTTTTTCGGGGGTCATTCCATTTCTCATTCCCTGCCTATCGCACCAGCAAGTTAACGCCTTCCATACCCCTGCCCCTGTGGTCTCCTCATTTGGGTATGGGTCAAAATTAAACCACAAGGAATTGGACCGCAGGTATTTCGTCCTTGGCTCCATTTACCAGGTTTCTAGTTTGGGGTTACCCTATTTTTGACCACCACAGCCATTTGTTTCCCCAGTTCAACTCGAGAAACCCAAAGAGGTCACCACTCAACCAGGCCCCCCAGCCCCCCAGCCCCCGCAGCCCCCCAGTCTCCCCATTTGAAGTTTTTCCGCAGGTCTTCAGCACGACGGTGCCTCCCCTGGTCATGGCCTTCATCGTGAAGCCCTGCTTGGCGTGCTGCTTCAAGCGAGGCGAACATGTGGAGGCAGGGTGGTTTTGGCCGTGGAAATGATGCGCCGCGAACGCGGGCAACAAAAAGGATTTCGGGTTTGAACAACATGTGCATAGCTTTTTCGGAGTTGTTTGTTTGTTTTTAACTGACTTGAAAAAGGGATTTTTGCACTGTTTCATTTTATATCTTGCCCTGGGTTTGGAGTGGCAAGGCTTTTCTGGCTTTCCTGACTTCTTGGCTTTTCTTGCTTCCAAGCGTTTTGCTCTAGCCTCACGCATTTCTGTCTTCTGGTCGTTTCTGGCTTGTCCGGCTCGTTGGGCTTGCGCCTCAAAAGGCTGCTGCTCATTTGACCGACGTGGTGTGTGTGTGTGTGTGTGTGTGTGTGTGTGTGTGTGTGTGTGTGTGTGTGTGTGTGTGTGTGTGTGTGTGTGTGTGTGTGTGTGTGTGTGTGTGTGTGTGTGCGTGTGTGTGTGCGTGTGTGTGTGTGTGTGTGTGTGTGTGTGGGTGGGTGGGGGTGTGTGTGTGTGTGTGTGTGTGTGTGTGTGTGTGTGTGTGTGTGTGTGTGTGTGTGTTGTTGCGCCTGAGCGGTTCTGCTTATCAGTTGGCAGAAGCCTCAAGGCCTAGAAGCCCAAAGCCCTAAAACCCTAAACCGCAAAACACACGAAACCCACAGGATCCTAAACTTAAGCCCAACATATCCCGAAGTCTAAACCCTGAAAACCTTAAACCTAAACCCAAGCCCTAAGGCCTAGCCCTAAAAGCCTCCAATTCCTAACACTACATCCCAGAACCCTAAACTCAACTCATACAAGTATCATGTTGCAGACCTTTGCCAGGCAGGTACGCGGCCCTACGCCCATGAAGGAATCAGACGCAAGGGACATGAAGAAAAGATTGCCATGGCAAAGAACTCGGGCTGCAAACAAACCACTTCCCTAAGAGCTGCAATCAACAAAGCTGCCACACCAGGAGACATAATACGACGCCGCGAGCTGGAATGCCTTGCCAGACCCGCAAGAATGCTAACACGTGGGGGGGGGGGGGGCCGAAATCGGGACAGCCATGAGGCTGTAGAGACAAATGGCGACCAGCAAAGTCGGGGGATATTGAGCATCCAGCGTCTTTCAGTGCAGAGTGCTCAAAATCAATCTGCAAGATCCTTCTGCCAGGTGGTGGCTTCGCTTGCTGTGTCCCAAGGAAAAGCGGATTAGGATTGGGGATGCCTCGATTTCGAACCCGGTTGACACCAAACAATTTCCCAAGCGACAACAGCTGGCAAGGACTTCTGGAATTTATAGTTTCGACATTTACCGGTTTTGTGGCAGTGAGGCGCCAAATGCAAAGGCTCGTTTTCGTCTTTGAGCTTTGGGAGGTGCTCTTAATTTGGACACAGGCACACAGCCTCTTTCTTTCCGTGTTGTTAAAGGCCTGCTCTGAGGCATGTCAAATGTGATGCCCACGGTCATTTCGCCAGTCCACGGTACTGTAGGGGGCACACACTCCTTGTTGTCCTTGGTTCCCATTTCGGTTTTTTAGCCGCAGGTTGCTTTTAGGCTTTTCTTCTGGTTTCCCCTCAGCCATTTCCTCCCCACTTTCTTTTTAATCGCGTCAGGCGCGGCTGCAGAAGATCTACACGCTGCCGCCCTGGAACTTGTCCCTGCGGATGGCCCAGACTTTGACGGTGGTCTTTGTGATCTGCGGCTCGGGTTGAGTTTGGGTTCAGCTCGAGGGCAACTAGGTCCCCCAGTAGTGCCCTTTTCCCCTTTTTTGGGGGAGGGTTCCCCTACTAAAATAGACAGCAGAAAAAAGGGTACCCTTATTCTAACCTCTTTGCTGGAGGACCTAGGCAAAGGAGAAAACGGCCATGTGCCAACTTAACGGATCGCAAAGGAGCGAAATGGAGCTGCCCAAGCACCAGGCAGGGTTGGTGAGAAGCCAAGTCTTAAGACCCCCAGCAGAGGTTCAATAAGCAAGCCGCCGCCGCCAAAAAAAGAGTCTGGGCACTGGGCAACTAAAATATTTTGCGACGTCCGGGAGTCGGGCGTGCAAGGTGCAGGTTCCTTTCTTGCGGTCGCTGATGTTGCTTTGTGAAATATGAACCCTTTGGTGGACATCAAAATTCGGTGGGGATCCATGTCCACCAACCACTTTGGAGGGGGGTCCCAATGAAAATTCACAAGCATATGAATTTGCCCAGAATACACCTTCCTTGAGCAAGAGAACAGCTGTCACACAGCTGAAGGATCCAGAATTGCATAGCTTCGTTGCCTTTTTTTGCCCCCAGTTTCCCCCCGCTTTTCTGCGGGACGCATCAAACTTCATACCCTTTGTTGCATCTTGCTTGGATGTTAGGACTTCAGCTTTTTGCCAACTACTGGGGTTTCCATTAAACCACTAAAAGTTAAACTTCTAGCAGGGGAGCAAACAGCAACCGAGTACCCTTCCAACGGTTTTGAGGCATGTACTCGGGCGGCATGCCGGCGCTGTACAGCGTGGGCTTTTTGTATAGCATCGTGGCCTTCTGGCTGGACAAGTGGTGCCTGCTCCATGGCTCCAGCAAGCCGCCGGCCTACAACGAGGCAGTCGCTTCAAATTTGGGGTGCGTTGGGGTCAAAAGGTGAGTTGCAGGAAGGCCAGCCTTGGACTGGACTTCGGAAACACAAAGGGCAGATGGGGTGGGAGTAGAGCTGTGTGTGTGACTAGACTGTGTCCATAAGTAGTTTCGATTCAAAGAAGTCAACTGTTGCACGCAGCAGACATCCATGTTTCCTCAACTTGCCCGCATCTTCCAAGGGACCGACAAGAGCTAGTCAGTCTGCTTGAAGTGGCTTGAAGTGGCTTCATCTTCCACGGATTCCAGTCACTTGAAGTCCTCCAGTGAAACCTATCTACGCTAGGTCCCAGTAGTGCCCTTTTGCCCTTTTTTTGGGGAGGGTTCCCCTACTAAAATAGACTACAGAAAAAGGGGTATCCTTATTCTAACCTCTCTAGTACAGTTTCCATAAGGACCCTGGAGTCGCGGGAATTTCAGATCTGGAGGCCATCCTGCAGGTGTGCATGGTTTTCCTGCCGCTGGCGGGCTTTCTGCACACGGCAGCCCGGGCACTGTTAGAAGTTGCTCCGGGGGTTTTTCTGGGAAGCTCAGTGCCTTCGCACGATGAGAGGGCAGTGTTTCCGATCACTGATTGGCCGCAGTAGACAGCCGCTTTGTGCCGGACGCCCTGCTGAACGTAAGTAAATTGACCTCAGCAGGTGCAATGCAGTCACAGCGACCTCGCAATGTAATTCTGGTTGGTGAAGTCTAGTACTGAGAGTTCCCTGGTTCAGCGTAGTTGTCAGGTATTAGAGCTAATATCAGCCAGGACCTCGCTACACAAGGCCTTGGGGCTGGACACCTGGCTTTCGAGCGCAAGTGCCACTACTGCTACTGCTCCTGCTATTGCTATTGCCTCTGCTGCTGTTACAACTACAACTACCACCACTACCACTACTACCACTCCTACTACTACTGCGACGACGACGACAACAACAACAACAACTACTACTACTACGACTACTACTACTACTACTACTACGACTACTTCTACTGCTACTGCTGCTACTACTACTACTACTAAGGTTACTACTACTACTACTACTACTACTACTACTACTACTACTACTACTACTACTACTACTACTACTACTACTACTACTACTACTACTGTCATGCTATTACTGCACCATGTAAGAGTCTTAGTACTACTGCTACTGCTCCTACTGCACTCCTCAACCCCCCAAATCCACCCCAACTCCACCCAGCTTCAACCCCTCAACTAACCCCGCCCCCCACCCCGCCCAACACACCCCAAGCCTCACCCCAACTCCAGCTCTATTCCAACTCCACCCCAAATCCAACACTGCAGCCCACACTTCCACTTCACTCGCGCCTCAACTCCATTCAAATTTCAAATTCCATTCAAAGCTACCCCAACTCCACTCACTCCCACCCCGAACCCTCCAGCTCCATCGATGCTACTGCCACTGCTACTGCTGCTGCCACTACTGCTACTGCTGCTGCCACTGCTGCTACTGCTGCTGCCACTGCTGCTACTGCTGCTGCCAGTACTGCTACTGCTGCTGCTAGTACCGCTACTGCTACTTCTACTCCTATTGCTGCTGCTACTGCTATTGCTGCTGCTACTGCTATTGCAAGGGGGCTGCTATTGCAAGGGGGCTGCTACTTTTACTGCTACTGCTGCGCAGGAAGGCTTGCGTGAAATCGATTCAGCCTTTTACATTGCAAGGTCTCGTGCGTGTGAGGTCGTAGCCGGCTGGACCTTTGGCAACACTGCTCTGGTTCCCAGCAACTGGAGTAGCCTGCTTGGGATCGCCGAGATCCTGTTCATGTCGGAGGAAGACTACAACCAGGTTGGTCCTAGTTTCGCGTTGTCGAATCTAGGGCTTTGCCAAAAATCCCTGAGACGTGTTCCTTCGGTTTGGACGTTGGGCGAAAAGGGGGGGTTTGCAGCCTTCATGTTCCGGGGGTGGGCTTTCCCAAGATCCACCAACAGAAAAGGGGCTTGCCTTTTTTGTTCCGTGGGTCACCAACGGCAAGCACTTTCCTTTAGGGGCGATGAGCCTCTCTCCGAGCCTGCTAGGTGACGACGGCATACCGTTCGGCACCGTTCAAGGCGAAGAAGGAGCTGCAGTGGCGGTACTACAACGCCCGGATGATGGACATGGCCCGAGAG